AGGATCTTGCTGTGTGGAAACTGGATCCTGTTCCCTACATTACAACAGTTTCTCTACTTCAAAAGTACTTAACTGACTGAAGTGTTTTGGAATATTTTATAGCTACATAAATGCAAGCCTTTCTTTCATGAATTTTTGCTTCTGGGAACTGACAGGCACTTAGCAAAGTACTGGACCTCCTCTTAGGAAACAAGATTCGGCAAGTACTGAACTATAGAATCCCTACGGTGTGGAAGCAGGCCGTTCAGCCCATTGAGTCTGCATCGACCCTCTGAAGAGCACTCCACCCAGAGCTACCCCATCCCTGTAACCCTGCATTTCCTATGGTTAATCCACCTAGCCTGCACATCCTTGGACACAATGGGCAATTTAGCATGGCCAATCCACCCTAATCTGCACATCTTTGCATTGTTGGAGGAAACCGACGCAGACATGGGGAGAATGTGCAAGAGCCACACAAACAGTTGCCCAAGGCTGGAATCAAACCAGGGTCCCTGAAGCTGTGAGACAGCAGTGCTAACCGTCATGCCACCGTACCGCTGAAGTGTCAGTTGGAGAGCACTTTGGGTCCAGTGACCATAACACTCTTAGTTTTAACATTAGTTATGGAAAAAGATAGGACAAGTTGTCATGTTAAGGTGCTAACCTGGAGCAAAGCCAATTTTGGGGCCATTAGTCAAGATCTAGCAGAGATCGATTGGGTGAGTCTGTTTGAAGGAAAAGGAACAAGAGAGCAAAAACAGGATGTTTGATGGATCTGGCAGATAAGGTTAAAGATAATCCCAAGACATTCTATAGCTATATTAAGAGTAAAAGGGTTTTCCAGGGAGAGAATAGGTCCCCTTAATATCAACATGGCCATCTATGTGTGGAGCCGCAGGAGATGGGGCAGATTTTTTATGAATATTTCTCCTCAGTGTTTGCTGAATAGAGAATCGAGGATGCTAAGGAAATAAGGGAAACGAGCAGGGATGTTTTGGACCACATGCAAATACGAGAGAAGAGGTGTTTGTGACCTTAAAGTACATTGAGGTGGCTAAATTCCCTGGGCCTGATCACGTTCATCCTTGGACGTTATAGGAAGCTAGGGAAGAAGTTGCAGAGATTTTTGCTTGATCTTTAGCCACTGGTGAAGCTCCAGAAGACTGAAGGGTGGCTAATGTTGTTCCATTGTTTAAGTAGCAAAGACAAGTCAAGGAACCTTAGGCCAGTGAGCCCGACGTCAGTGGTAGGTGAGTTATTGGAGATGGTACTGAGGAACAGGATCAGTCAACATTTGGGTAGTCAAGGTCTGATTAGGGATAGTCAGTATGGATTTGTGCGTGGAAGTCATGTTTGACAAACCTTTGAGATTTTGAAAGAGATAACCAAGAGGATAAATGAGGGTAGGGCAGTGGATGTTGTCCATGTGGACTTTAGTAAGGCCTTTGACAAGTCCCGCATGGCAGGCTAATCATGAAGGTTGGGTTGCAATGGGATCTAAGGAGAGCTAGGTAATTGGATTCAAAATTGGCTCGATGGTTGGAAGTAGAGGTTGATGGTTGAAGGTTGTTTCTTGGACTGGAGGCCTGTGACTAGTGGTATACCACAGGGGTCAGTGCTGGGACCTTTGTTTTTTGTTATTTACATTAGGGGTCTGGATGTGAATGTACAAGGCATGATTAGTATGTTTGCAGATGACACAAAATTAGGAGGTATCGTTTATAGCGAGGAAGGTTATCATACGTTACAGAGGGATCTTGATCAGATGGAAAAGTAGGCTGAGGATTGGTAAATGCAATGCAATACAGAGAAGTGAGAGGTATTGCACTTTGGAAAGTCAAACCAAGATAGGACTTGTGAAGTAAACGGTAAGGTCCTGAGCAGTGTAGTGAAACAGAGCGACCTAGGAGTACAAGCACATAATTTGTTGAAAGTGACATCATAGGTGGACAGGGTGGTGAAGAAGGTGTAAAGTATGTTGGCCTTCATCGATCGAGGCATTGAGATATAGGAGTTGGGACATTGTTATGGTTGCATAAGTCATTGGTGAGGCCATGAGTCATTGGTGGAGCATTGTGTACGGTTTGGTCACCCTGTTTTCGGAAAGACATAGTTAAACTGGAAAGTGTACAAAGAAGATTTATGACAATGTTGCCAGGACTAGTAGGCCGGAGTTATAGGGAGAGTTTGGTCTGGATAGGACTTTATTCCTTGGAACGTAGGAGAATGAGGGGTGACCATATTGAGGTGTATAAAATCATGAGGGGCATAGATAGGATGAATGCATGTAGTCTTTTTCCCAGGGATGGGGAATTGAAAGCAAAATAGAAGGCATACGTTTAAGTGAGAGGGGAAAGATTTAAGAAGGACCTGAGGGGCAACTTCATGCAGAGAGTGGTGAATATATGGAATGGGCTGCCAGAGAAAGTGGTTAAGGCAGGTACATTAGCAACATTAAAAAAAAAATCATTTGGATAGGTATGTGGATGGGAGGGGTTTAGAGAGATATGGAACAAACGTGGGCAATTTGGAACTAGCTGAGTGGGCACCATGGTCAACATGGACCAGTTTCTATGCTGTATTATTCAATGACTCTGACTCCAAGTTAAAAATGAGCATAAATTTGAAATTGGTGTTAGTGCAGCAAAAGTAGCAGATAGTAGTTTGTGTTAGAGCATGTGTGTTACAACTAACTGGGGTGTAGAGTCTTGGTATTCAAGCTCTGCTATTCCCAGAGTGGACACCAAATTTTAATTTTATCAATTTATGCAAAATTGCCAATTTACCTGTCTGATAGACTCAGACTCAGTTTAACACAAGATATTGACCAGGTTTTTGCATTTAACAAGAATTACTGTATATTTCCAGTAAATAGACTCCAATAGCTTTGAACTGTCAACATAAATCTCTCATAGTTAAAACTCTAGCCTACTTCTAAAACCTCCTTTCATGTCATACAGATAGACAGAAATGAAGAAACATTGTTGTTATCGATGGAGAGAAGAAAATGTACTGAGAAAACCATGCAACGAGGGGTTCCAACTGTTTCTGAAGTCCTTTAGTTCTGTGATATTTTGCTTTCTGTTCTTTTACATCAAAGGAGGCAGAGTTCACAAATTATAAAGTCTCACATATGTTTAAAAGCAACTGGTGGGAGAAAACAACCGATTTTTTTCAGCTTCAAGCATTTTACTCATGAGACTGTTGAGACTTCAATTCTAGAGGTCCAAGGGCAGCTTCTCACTATACTGGTCAAACCCACAAACTGTTCACCTACCCAGGAACCAATCTGAATTGTCGTCAGCCTGATGACAATTGAACGAACCAATCAGCTACTTGTTACCAGTCAAATCTCACTTTCTATACATGCCCTGGAACCCTGCCATCTATTTACACCTTCTCCCTACTGATTGAAAGCAATAGTGTAAACAGAACTTGTAATAAGTTTCAGTAACTTGCCTTTTCTTAGTATAGTAATTTCTTCCTTACGCCTTTGTTCTAAAACAACTGTCTTCCTAATCTAGTCTACAATCAAAAATAATGTAAAGTAGAAAGATAGTCTTTACAGGAGAAAGGAAATAGGAATAGAACTATCTGTTCTGCCCATTGAGCCTTCAAGCTTACTTGAATTTGTATGTTTTCACTCTGTGTCGCAATCCAGTTCCACTATTCCCAGAGTGGTCACAAATATGAAAAGATTTCTTCAAACCATCCAAAATCCCCAGTTTATCTGATTGATAAACTTCGTTTAAAGGAAAACACTTGCTAAGTTTCTGTAATTAAGAAAATAACTGCTTATAATAAGCAAAGTATTTTTAACCAATGGCAATTAGGAAATGTTAATTACTAACTTATAACTAAAATTTAAATTCTACCCTTCTAAATTTTACCTCCCAGCCCCTCCCAATGCATACAGACAGACAGATATAGGTAATGGATATTAAGAGTGGAAAAGGAAAAAAATAACTCCGGCAAGCACAGTTTGATAGCACCAGCCTGGACCACAGGATTCAATGATTGTTTTCTTTTTCTTCTTTTCAATGATTTTTAGTTTGTTGTCTTAATAGCAATGTTGTTTGCATACTCATGCTGTCAATTCGGTAATTGGGAATTTGTCCTTTCACTATCTTCAAAGGTGGTTTATTTCTCCTTCAGTAAGGGATTTGCAGAAGGGACACTGTTCAGCCCATTGTGCCTGCATCAGCTCTTTTTATCATGCAGTTTTCTGTTGGTTCAGAACCTCTCTGTTTGCTTTTGTTCTGAGTTTGAGAAAAATGTGACATTCCGTACAACTCAAAATGTGCTCCCGTAAGCATGGTGTTTAAAACTGCATCCATCTCTTAAACAGTCTCCTTGGTTTAAAATAGCACCTTTCTAGTCCACATTCCAGAAATAAAGGAAATAAAAGACATAGTCTTTATCTCTCCCTGTCTCCATGCTCCTATTGCAGAGGAATGAGTCTTGCTGGGTTTTGGTACCTTGGGCAGCAGCAGTATTGCTTTGCCTCACCCAGGTGACAGGTCTTCCTGTAAATATCAGTAAGCTGTTTGACCATGTTGGTTTCCTGACCCTATCTTCAATCGTGCCGCTCCAATTGTTAGTGAGTGATCTAAAATGGAAAGGGAAGCCCAAATTTAAGTTTTAAATAATTTGTTAATTTACTTTGTTTTCTAATTGGCAAAACGCTTTATAGTGGCTAGACATTTTATTTGCTCCTTCTGGAGCATAGAGAGAGAAGAATGAGAAACCGGACTTAGATGTGGCTTTCCAATCCTAAGGAAATTTTACTATTCTTAAAAGAAAACTTCATCCCATCATCATTATAGAATCACTGTACACCAATAGTTTATATTCTAGAAATTATCAAGCTTATTCTTTGAATTAATCTTGCATTTATGTTACTCTGTACTAGTAATTTTTAGAATATTAATTTGTTATTTAAGACGCTTCTGAAAAGTGTTTGCAGTCCTAGATTCAGTTAATCTAAATGTGGCCTAATCCTTGCTGTTTGTTTTTAGGCAGTATGTCACAATGAACTCTTCATTATCTGGGCCTACAGCAGTAGCTGATGTGATTAAAGATCTAGACTCTCAGATAGCAGTAAGTAGTGCCTGAGTTGGCCTTAACTGGTGTGAGAGAATGCAGCAGCAAAACATGCATAGGGGTTTTGCACTAAATTTTGCTTTCTCATTCCGCATTGGTGATTGAATAACCTATTTGCAAATATCTGATGTGAATCCAGTAGAAAGTCACCATTTTGCAATGGTTGCTTATATCCTGTTTCTTTTTCCTTCCTGTCTGAAGGTACTTTGCCACAATGGTAGTGGTGTTGTACCTGGAGGCAGACCATAAGTGACAGCAGGCCATTTGACTCTGGAAGCCCTGTACTCCTGAATATCTATACATATATTTCCGGTGCAGATTGATGCTTTGTGATTAAAATCTGACTTAATTTCCCCCCCCTCTGGCACATCACTGGCACCCAAATTGGACTATCAAACCTCAGCCACATGCAACAAACTGACTTTCTGGTCTGTACTACTTTTTGCCTATAAATAACCAATTCCCTTCAATCTCAAGCAATAGGAAAATGAGACAAATCACAAAATAATCATTTAAGATGCATGTCTTGGCTTTATAAATATATAGATCAGGGTTTTCCAAAGTGGAGTTCGGGAATTGAAATCTTGAAATTGCAGTGAAACTTTGTCAGAATTATAACAGTAGTACCTCTACTCCAACAGGCCCCTAATCCCAGTTTTCACTGAAGGAGCGACCCCAATTTTTAAGCTTTAAAATGGGGTCACATTTGGCAAGCACTGGTGCAAGACTGTTGGGAAAGAGGATTATTTTTCTTCAGCATCAGTTACATTTCTGTATTCTGAAACGTATGGTGTACCCAATGGTGTGAAAGAAGTATTTCTTAAATTCCTAAATTTCCTTTCCTAAATTTAAAAATGTATTCTTAAACTTAGTAGCAAACTGCATTTGCCTTAGAACACACTGCTGCTAAGTACAGCTTAACTTTGCCAGTAATGTATAAGTTTCTACTGCTAAATCTCATGATCTAGGGCTCCATTAGAGAAGGTTTTGTTTGTTTTTTTCAAAACAGAGAAGCTTCCCAAAATTAATATCTGAAAACTGTGCCAGAAGCCCAGCCATACAGGGTGCTCATTTCTTGCTGCTGAGTACATACATGACTTTTCTTGATCAAAAAGCATGACCGCTAGGAATGCTTGTAAATCACTCCTTTAAAAATAATCACGCATTCTGCTTTACAAAGTGCAAATCAGTATTGCACAATTGCTTCTTGAATTGTTTCGGTAATATCAGTGCATCTTTAGTCATTATTTTGTTCACTTTGGATTCTAACACATGTTGTAAGCTTCAAGTTTTACCCTGATCAATTCTTTGTAAAGTAATAATTGTCTGAGTTTAATACAAATGCAATTATTTTTAAGAAATGGATTTTAAAAATGTAAGTGCAAAAATGTGACACTTCGAGGAGCCTCTGCTGAGGCCTTAGCTTTTTACAATTTACATCAATGACATTGAGAGGAGCGAAGGCATGGTAGTTGAATTTGCAGGTGATACCAAGCTAAGAAGGAAGGTATGTTGTGAAGAAGACAAAGAAATTGCAATTGTAACAAAAGTTGAGTGAGCAGTCAAAAGCTGGCAGATTGATTATATTGGGGAAAAATGTGACATTGGCTTTGACAGGCAAAATCAAACAGCAGAGCATTAATGAGATGGAGAACAACTACAGATTTCGGGGATGGAAATACATTTAGGTGTTCTAGTACATGAGTAACAAAGTTAGCATGCAGGTATAGCAGATAATCAAGAGGCCTAATAGTATGCTATCCTTTACTGCATATTTGGTTATACAGAGCATTGGTGAGATCACATCTTCAATACTATGTGCAGTTTTGGTCTCATTAAGGAAGGATGTAAATGCATTGGAGATGATTCATAGGTGGTTTACTAGATTGATATGGTTTTAAATTTAAGGCACACCCTTTCAGAAAGATGAGTTTTTTTAATCTAATTTTTGTATGCCTTTCAAACAACTACATCTGACAACTGCTGAGGGAGGGTCATTCTATATTTTTAAGATAGAAGTGGGTAGATTCCTGTTAGGCCAGGAATCGAAGATATTTGAGGATATGGGTACGTTGACTTCAAAGCACGAACATCAGTCATGATCATATTGAATTTGTAGAACTTGAGGAGCCACATGGTCTACTTCTGCTCCTATTTTACATGTTCGGTTGTCTGACTTTAAGTCAGTGAAATAGTTCATTGAAATAATGTTTCCATTCAAAACATCAATGGGGAAATTGATTTGACCTGCTTTAAAACATTGATGCAGACATGTAAGTTCAAGTATGTTGCTGTAAATTAACAATAAATCTCATGTTAAAGCTACTTGGCTTTAATTCTGGCTTTGAGTTGTCTGTAACTTATAACTTGACATATGATTGACTAGCTGAAGATTTCAGGCAACTTTTGCTAAATATGAAAAACATTGCACCAGTATCTGGTTTCATTTACGTCATTATTATCTCTAGTGTCTGGTTTTAGAAGAAACTCCCTGTTCATGTCAATAAAACAACTTTTCTTTAAGCATGTTAGCACTGAGATCTAATTCGGATTAACAAATTGTTACCAGATGTCATCGTACTTGCTGTCACTGACTGAAATGCTTATTATCCCGAAATGCCCAGACAGGAAAGCAAAGCTTCTATTAAATGAGGTACCGTTACCAATAACTTTACTGTGAGCACTGTAGCACACAAGATATTGTTATTGAATCCAAAATTAAGAAGCTGCCCATAAGCTGCTGATTTTTCTGTCTGGATATGTTTGGAAGCATGAGCAAATAAATGGTCTCATTAGACAGAGAGGTTACCATCTTTTCTTAACGCTGACTGGCAGGAATTAATCTGCTGCTACAGGCTAATGAAGCTGAGTTAAGAGTTCTTTCATACTTGTCATGTAAGTGTATTGGGGTGAATCAATCAAAGAAGTGTAGAAAATGAAATTCAATTTTTAACAAAGTTTGTGATTGTGACAATGACTTTTATCAAATTTGAATTATAATCTAGCCAGTGCATTTTAGGTTCCGATTGCTAATTGCACCCAAAATGGAAAATGTGTTCAATCATCTTTATGACCATTGGTGTGTGGTTTAGTTGATACAGTGGATATTGCCTTGTTGAGGGAATGCCTTCACCATACTGACAACCTTGGGCTACGTTGAAGCACAGTTATGAGGCTAATTTTTTTTTAAATTGTAGATCTTGTTAATGTGAGAAATTGAAGTGTTGTAAAATGGAAGGTACCTTCAAATCTTTGGCACCTTGTGCCAACATCAAAGGCACTGCTGTAACTTACAGCATGATGAAAAGTATAATCTTTGTCATGGCTGAACTATGAACACTGAATCCCAACATCAAAACAATTGATTAGATTTTTAATAGTAGGTGAATCAGCTCTTGTCTCTGCTCACATTCTGCTGGAAGAGAAAATATGATTTAAAACTGTGCAGCACTCCAGGCTTTTCCAAAAATTAAAGCAAGCATTGTGATGCCATCTGGTGACAAGCTTCTAAGTATGAGTTTATTCATGATCTTGAGTGAGAAATCAGAATTTCATTTCATGGCTGTTTTATTTTGTTGTAAGAACTGGATGGTGGTGGAGTGTTTATTTTTGTATTCCAAATAAAATACAAGTGTGTAGATTCTTGAAATTTGACAAATGAATGGTGTGAATAATTTGAAAAATTGGAATAAATTGTTCATGGTCTTGAATTTTTAACTGTTTTCTTTCGAAGTGGAATGCATGCATGAGTACAAAACTAAACCATTTCACATTTGGTTTGGAGTTACTGATAAACCCAGTTTCACTCATCAACTCACATGTTAACCTGGCAGGGAATCATTTGGGTTTGAGATACGTAATACAACTGGATATTGAGGTCGCATAGCATGAGATGTGTGATTTTTGTGAGAGAAACAGATGAAGACTTTATTTATCATGTAAGCTGTTTGGCTAAAAAATAATATTGTATAAAATGAATCTCCTTGTAAAGTTTTGATGCAAACCTGTGCATTCGAACACAAAGTGGCCACCCTTTGCATAGCAGTACCCAACTAACTTCTCCACCTTAGAATGGGAACTCATTTGGCTTTATTTATCCGAAATAAATCGGAATGTTTTGGTTCAGTAACCTGAAATTTGTGATCAGGGCCTCAATTAAACATGCTGCCTTTACCCCTGGTTGAATTTGAATCTAGCCCAGACTGATTCCATTATTTCTGGCAATGTTAAAAGTTGAGCAGTTTAAATCCTGTTCTAAAAGCTGACAGATCCACAACACAGAATTATTCGTTGTTTGGGATTTGTTGTATTGTAAATGATATCTCAAAAGAGATGCTGAGTTAGGAAATAGAAAAATTGTACAATTTCAGTAGAAAATCCTTTTTTGAGCGTGAATTAAAACATTTTTTTCCTGTTTGAGACCTAAGAGGTGCATGGCACCCTGATCCCCGGCATTCCAATCCTGAGGCCCATGTAACTCCATTCTTTTTACATGCCTATTTCTTGTTTGCTGGTTTGCCCTGTTTGTCTGTGGGTTTGGAGAGTTAGAAGTGGTTGCTTTTTAGTATCTCACCAGCCAATAAATTTAGAATGGAGTATCTGGGCTTATTAATGTCAACAACTGTTCCCTGGTTGGGGATATATTCGCGCACTTGGATGTACACCTGCAAAGCTCATGACAACTGAAGTTTAGGCATCTCTGATTGAAGATGTCTTTAGAAATAGAGACAGTTAAACATTGGTTGAAGATGTTTGGGGCTGTCAGTATATTAGTGGAAGTGTATTCCATTAATTGCATTGTTATTGCACATCCTTGTAATTACAAAACTTTGTGAACTAAACAATTTGTTTTCAATAAAATTTGGCTGTTTAATGCCTTTTTTAATCAGTGGATAAAAGCAGTGTATGCTAGGTGCTTGGGATAGGTAGGCAGTGATTTTAAGTTTGGAACATCCAATTCTTTATTAAATGTTGATTTTGTACTTCCGTGCAACAAATATAAACATTTTTGTTTCTTAAATAAGAAATGTATTGTATTAAAATAGTTATGACATTCCAGTCTAAATAAATCACAATCACTAGCGAAACTGGAATCAATGGATGTGTGGCAGTAAACTCTCTGCTGGTTGGAATCATACCTGGCACATAGGAAGATGGTTATAGTTGTTGGAGGTCAGTCAACTCAGCTCCGGGGCATCTCTGCAGGAGTTTCTCCAGGTAGTGTCCTCGGCCCAACCATCTTCAGCTGCTTCATCAATAATCTCCGCTCAGTCATAAGGTCAGAATTGGGAGTTCGCCAGTGATTGCATAATGTTCAGCACCATTCTCAACTCTTCAGATATTGAAGCAGCCCATGTTCAAATGCAACAGAATCTAAACAATATCCAGGCAATGACCATCACAGATGAGACAATCTATCCAACCTGCCATTGACATTCAATGGTGTTGCCATCACTGAATTCCCCCACTACCGGCATCCTTGGGGTTATCATTGACTTGACCAGAAACTCACCTGGACTCAACATAAACATGGTGGCTACTAGAGCAGGTCAGAGGCTAGGAATCCTGCAGTGAGTAACTCACCTGATTCCCCAAAGCCTGTCTACCATGTACAAGGCACAAGTCAGGAGTGTGATGGAATGTGTGATGGATGGGTGCAGCTCCAACAACACGCAAGCTTAACACCATCCAGGACAAAGCAGCCTGCTTCATTGACATCACATCCACAAACATCCACCCCCTTCATCACTGATACTCTGTGGCAGCAGTGTGTGTTATCTACAAGATGCGCTGCAGAAATTCACCAAAGATTCTTCGGCACCTTCAAAACTCATGACTACTTCTATCTAGATGGACAAGGGCAGCAGATCCATGGGAACACCACCACCTGCAAGATCCCCTCCAAACCACTCACCATCCTGATTTGGAAATATATTGCCTTCTCTTCACTGTCACTGAATCAAAATTCTGGAATTCCCTCCCTAACAGCATCGTGAGTCAACCCACAGCACAAGGACTGCATTGTTCAAGAAGGCAGTTAACCATCACCACCTTCTCAAGGACAAGAAGGAATAGGTAATAAATGCTGGCCAGCCAGTGACTAGAATATTAAAAAAAATCAATTGAGGGTGGAACTTATAAACCATTCTTTCCTGTAACATGATAGTGATTCGTAATTTTTTTGCAATATGTGACTTGGTTTGTTTGGGGCATTTTAATTAGTATTATGGTTTGTTATATTTAAGTCAAAGGAGTGGATGTTGTGGATACAACATCAGTCAAGCAGGCCGCTTTGTCCTGAATGGTGTCAAGCTTCTCAAGGCAACTGTCTTTGGGATGAAGCAAGGGAGATCAGTCAATACTGCAAGGTGCCAAACAATCAAATATGCAAAACTGAGACATTTTTACATCACTATTGCAAACCATGCAAATTTGATTATACTAAATAATTCTGTGCAAGTATCTTCCAAACAGATTGCATAATTGCTGGCTAAATACTGACTTTCTGTTCAGCTGACATGTTAACTGTTTACTGGGGTAACCCTTAATTAATTTTTTTGTGCTTTTACATTCAAAAATGAAGGAAGCTTTATTGAACTAAATGCTTTGCAGTGGTATATCCCTTGACACTTAATGCATTTGCTTATGCTACCTTTATATTTTGTGCAGCAGACAATGATCACTAAAACACTCTGGTTTCCATGGCAATTATTTTCTTCACCTCGAGTTATCCTCTCACTGTTCTGCACTACAGTGAATGTCAGTGCCCTATGTATTCTCACCTAGGTGGCACCATTTCACTGTGAACTTCTCTGAAAAATGCTGGCAGGCTTTTTTTTGGCATGAGTGTCGTAACTGAACCTATTCTGTTTCCTGCCCAACCACCAAA